CTGATCCTTCGTTCTTTTCGTCAGAAGCTGTTTTCCATCCTTCTCCGATGTTCTGAGGATGGGTTTTTCCCTAGGGACCTGGGGCAGGTCGGGAGGCTGGTCCAGTTCCTTCAGTACCTTCCTCAAAAAGTTGACAGTGTCCCTATCCACCAGCCTGCTCAGTTCTGTGTTCATTGCCGACAAGCACAGGGCTTGTAACAAGGGAGGACTGGCCACCACCGCGGGCGGCCTGAGGGCGGCCTCGGCTTGTGTGGTTGGGCCACTCTCCTCACGGCGGGCTCCACACACTTCATGGCGGGCAGAGCCCCTGTGGCCCAGTGCCTTCGCGCTTCTTCGAGTGAGTTGTCTCTTCACTAGGAGAACCAGCAGCACAGTCCATATGAGCACCGCACAGGGCAACACGGGGAGACTCGGGGTGTGTCCCCAGCTTTCAGAAATCAGCTGCAGCGCCCCCCCACAGGTGCTCCAACACCAGCTGGCAAGTGGATCTGGTGGCCAAGAGGGCGCCCTCCATGGCTGCGTCAGGCTCCACAGCTCTGTCTCCAAGTGCCAGAGTCCTGTGGCCACAACGGACCACTGAGAATCCTGTGGAGAGTTCCACCTATGAGGTCAACGGTGCCCGGCAACCAGGGCAGAGCAGTTGGGCTGGGGGAGGGGAGGCCAGCCAGGTTCCAGAAAACAGTTGCCCCTGACTTTGCCATGAAGTAGAAAGTTGTCTCAATCACACAAGCCCTGGGGGAGGTGGGAAGGGCTGATCCCGGCCCGGAGCCCAGCCACTCAGGCCCACCTGGCACTACAGCAAACCTAGGGGCTCAAGGCAGGGCCAGGTCACGTCCGTCCGTGCGCACAAGACAATCAGGGCAAAGTGTTCAGGCCTCCTTCCCGGGCGAGGCCCGTTCTCCTGATCTGAAGTTTCCCTTGGCTTCAGGGACTCCTGGTCCTGTCTGCAAATGTCCCAGGGATCTCCCTCCATTTTTAATTGCATCACATTAATAGCCTTTTTGATTTCAACACGCGCAGATTTTAGTTCTTTCATTTCTCCAGAAAGAGATTCTGTAGTGTCTTCTATGCTTTTTTCAAGCCCATCTATTATCTTTATAATCATTATTCTGAACTCTAGTTCTGACATCTTACTTACCTCCATACTGATTAGGTCCTTGGAAGTCAGTACTGCCTCTTGTTCTCTTTTGTTGAGGTGAGTTTTTCTGTCTTAGACCATTTTGTCCAGGAAGAATAGATGAATGAAAGAACAAAATACCACAATGACAGCAATGACCCCAGAGAAATATACACTAAACAAATCAGGAGAGATCTTAAACTAAAAAAAAAAAAAATTGAAATTAAAGAATCAAAAGGAGAATATAACCAGAGGTGAACAGAATAGAGCAATACACTGGATCCTGTGTGTATTTTGGTCTGTTTGTTAGAAAACTAGATCCCAAAATTGTAAAGTAAGAAAAACTTATGTGTGTACAATAATAAAATAAAATACAGTGAAAGAATAGAATGTAACTGTAGACATGAAAATTAAAAAAGAAAAAAATGAAAAAAAGAAGACAGGAATATAAACAGGTGAACAGAACAGAGCTATACATTATATCCTGAGCGTATTTTGTTCAGTTTGTTTGAAGAAACTACATCTCAAAATTATAAAGAAAGAATAACATATATATACAAAAATAACATTAAATACATTGAAAGGATAGAATGTAAGTGTAAAGATGAAAGTACAAAAATGACTTTAAGAAAACAAAACAAAACAAAGACAAAAAAGAGAGAATACGATCAGATAGGTGAAGAGAAGAGAACCATATGCTAAATTCTGGGTGTATTTTGGTCTATTTGTTAGAAGAAACTGCATCCCAAAATTGTAAAGAAAGAAAAACTTATATATATACAAAAATAAAATTAAATACAATGAAAGGATAAAATGTAAGTGTAAAAATGAAAAAAAAGATTTTAAAAAAAGTTGATAAAGTAAGAAATTGGTTGAATAATGAAAGAGAAAAAAATTAAAATAAAAGACTTCTCAATTTCCTATGGCTGCTATAATCAATTATTACAAACACGGTGGCTTGAACACAGTTCTGGAGGCCAAGAGCATGAAGTCAAGGAGTCAGCAGGGCCATGCTCCCTCCAGCCATTCTAGGAGGGAATCCTTCTTTGCCTCTTCAGTTCTGGTGTCTGTTCTCATTCTTTGGCTTGTGACATTGTCACTCTAATCTCTGACTCTGCTGTCCCATAGTGTTCCCTTTTGTGCGTCCATCTTCTTCTGTTTGTTAGAAGGACACCTATCATTGGATTTAGTGTGCACCTGGGCAATCTACAATGATCTCTCAATATCCTTAACTTAATTACATCTGTGTACTCTATATCTAAATATGATCACATTCACAGGCTCCAGGAGTTAAGATGTTGACATATCATTTTGCGGGCCACCATTCAATGCACTACAGAAGTAATACATTCACTTACTATTCTTTTAGTAACTGCAATCAAAGGTAAAAAGTATGCCTTTGACTTACTACAGACAAATATAAATTAGAGCCTCTGATCTTTTCCCAGAAAATATGAGGACACTAGAATACTTTAACTTCATTTACTACTCCCACAATCTACATATCATTGCTGAACTATATTTTATTGTATTCACTGTAAGCCCAAGAAGGCAGTGGAATATAAGGAACAATGCAGAGGATCATAGGGGAAGGGAGGAAAGATCAGAGAAGGAGACAAACCGTGAGAGACTCTTGACTCCAGGAAAAAAACTGAGGGTTGTGGAAAGGGAGGTGGGTGGGGGGATGGGGTAATTGGGTGATGGGATTTTTAAGGAGGGCACGTGTTGTGATATGCATTGGGTGTTATATGCAACTAATGAGTCATTGAACACTACACGAAAAACTAATGATGTACTATATGTTGGCTAATTGAATTTAAATTTTAAAAAAAGAAGGCATTATCACTCTGGAAAACTGTATGGAGGTTCGTCAAAAAGTTGAAAATAGAGCTACCCTATGATCCAGCAATTACACTACTGGGTATTTACCCCAAAGATACAAAGGTAGGGTTCCGAAGGGGTACATGCACCCCGATGTTTATAGCAGCAATGTCCACAATAGCCAAACTGTGGAAAGAGCCAAGATGTCCATCGACAGATGAATGGATAAAGAAGAGGTGGTATATATATACAATGGAATATTATGCAGCCATCAAAAGGAATGAGATCTTGCCATTTGCAACGACGTGGATGCAACTGGAGGGTACTATGTTGAGTGAAATAAGTCAAACAGAGAAAGACATGTATCCTATGATCTCACTGATATGAGGAATTCTTAATCGCAGGAAACAAACTGAGTGTTGTTCGAGTGGGGGGTGGGTTGGGAGGGATGGGGTGACTGGGTGATAGACACTGGGGAGAGTATGTGTTCTGGTAAGCTCTGTGAATTGTGCAAGACTGTTGAGTCTCAGATCTGTACCTCTGAAACAAATGCAATATATGTTAAGAAAAAAAAAAAAGAAGAAGGTAGCGGGAGGGGAAGAATAAAGCGGGGGAAATCGGAGGGGTAGACGAACCATGAGAGACAATGGACTCTGAAAAACAAACTGAGGGTTCTAGAGGGGAGGGGGTGGGAGGATGGGTTAGCCTGGTGGTGGGTATTGAGGAGGGCACATTCTGCATGGAGCACTGAGTGTTATGCACAAACAATGAATCATGGAACACTTCATCTAAAACTAACGATGTAATGTATGGGGATTAACATAAGAATAAAAAAATAAATTAAAAAAAAGAAGGCATTATTATTGCTTTACACAGTTAATACATGGGCAGCACAACAAAATAGACAGAAATATTAAATTTTGGAAGTATCTAATTAATGAATTTTTTTTTTTCTTCAAGAGGAAAAGGATCAATTGGATTTATTTTTTCAAGTGGATCTTTTTTATTTATCCATGTTTTTACTCTACAAATGCTTATTTAGTGTCTTCTCTGTGGCAGGGATTGGGAATAGAGGAGCAAACATGGCAGACAAATTCTCCAAAGCTTGGGTTATAAAACTGTTGAACTGGAATTTTTGCCTGGAGAGGATCTCTAAGATTATCCGGTAAAGTGTATTGCGATGTTGAGGAATCTGAGGTTTAGTAGGTTGAATGACTTTCTGTTCCAGGAGGTCACACAATCAGAACCATGGGGTCCTTAAGCTCCCCATGTAGTGTTTCTAATCTCTAGAGCAGACATGAGCTACCCACTGCATTTGAAGCAGGCAAGGCTATGTGGGCTCCAGCAGAAAACTGTTTTATGGACACAATGCATCTTCACCCCTTGGAAACTATCTCCTAAATGTATATCTTTGGTCAAATATAATACCCATGACCGATTCCGGAAAAAAACAAGATCTGTGGAAGGTTCTAGTCGTGGAAAACTTTAATATGTTATTAGTAATGATCATAAGAGTTAGTATCTCTTGAGCACACACAATATGCCAGCGTCTGTGTTAAGAGTTTTGTGGGGGCTTTCAGGTCTCATGACAGCTTTATGAAGTTGGTGTCATGATGCTCATCCTTCTTTTAAATGTGAGGACGTTGACATCAGCCTGTTCAGGTGGTGACATGGCGAATGGTGCAAACAGGTGCTCACCTGGAGAACTGGGCCTTCTCCAACTCTAGGCAGTCCCAGATGTGAGTGCTGATCGACAGAAGATGCAGCTGTTCTTTCCAGGAGTTCCCTGAGCTGTTCTAGCAAATTCCCAAGATCACACCAGTCCTCCCAGAGAGAAGGGGAGAGAAGAGTGGCCTAGTCCTTTCCCCCTTCTCTTAAATCACTTGCTAGAATGCCGCCCTTGATGGTTCTTCTTTCACGTATTGAAGTAGTATTTTCCATCTAAATGTGGCCATTGCATCAGGAAGAGGGGGAGCTATGAAAACAGTCAATGTGTCCCATGTGGTTTGTCCACGCGGTGCTGGTACAGTGACACAGTGAAGGCAGGCGGCGGGGCAGGCACCTTGGCAGCAGGAGGTGGCAGGAAGCGTCGGCAGGAAGCGAAGGCAGGCGGCAGTGGCAGCGGGCCGGCAGGTGGTGACAGGAAGCGGCGGCAGGAAGCGAAGGCAGGCGGCGGGGCAGGGGGCATTGGCGGCGAAAGGCGGTGACAGGAAGCGGCGGCAGGAAGCGAAGGCAAGCGGCGGGGCAGGGGGCAGCGGCGGCGGCAGGTGGTGACAGGAAGCGGCGGCAGGAAGTGAAGGCAGGCGGCAGGGCAGGCGACAGTGGCAGCAGGCAGCAGCGCGGGCAGGCTGTGGTAAGCAGTGGCTGGCAGTCAGGCAGCCACAAGCAAGGGAGGCGGGCGGTGCGAGGAGGTAGCAGGCGTCGGCGGCAGGAAGCGGTGGGACGCAGGCAGCTGGGGCGGCAGGCAGGCAAGCCCCGGCAAGCGGCAGGCAGGCGGCAACAGGAAGCAGCGGCAGCGGTGTCAGGAGGCAGTGGCAGGAAGCGGTGACAGACAGCAGAGGCAGGTGGCGCGGGAAGGTGGCAGGAGGAGGCAGGCTGCAGCGGAGGCAGGCAGTGGGGGCAGTGGGCTGCAGGCGCCAGCGGTAGGCAGTGGCGGTAGGTAAGAGGTAGCAGGTGCAGGCTGCAGTAAGCAGCGGCTGGCAGGCAGGCCACGGCAGGTAAGGGCCGCGGGTGGTGCAAGGATATAGCAAGTGGTGGCAGCAGGCAGGTGGCAGACATCAGCATTAGGCAGGCGGCAGCTGTGGCGATTGGCAGGTGGCAGCGTTAGGCCGGCGGTGCTGTCAGCGGTGGGGTTAGGCAGGCAGCTTTGGCATGCATTCTCGGGGTTAGGTAGCTGGGCCCGGTGGAACCAGGCTGCGGCAGCAGACGGCGGTGGCAGGCAGGCGGCCACGGATGCGGCGGGCAGCAGGCGGCGGGCGCAGGCAAGGGCGGTGGGTTGCAGAAGGCAGGTGGCGGCGGCAGGCAGAGGTAAGTGGCAGCAGGGGGCGGCAGTGGTAGTACTGACTGGTGGCGGCAGCAGGCATGCGGTGGCAGGAGGCGGTGGCAGGCAGCGGCAGGCAGGTGGTGGAAGTCGGTGACAGGTGGCAGCGGGCAGCAGCAGAGGTGGCAGTGGTGACAGCACCAGCGGGTGGCGTCCTCGCCTGCAGTGGCTACAGGGGCGGCAAGGGCTGCAGGGGCGCCAGCTTTGGGCAGCCCCGGGTCATTGGGTGGCAGTGTGTGGCAGCCTCAGCAGCAGGTGGCATTGGCTTCAGCCGGGGTCACGGGCGGGGGAAGCAGGCGCCGCGATAGGGGCGGGGTCAGCAGCAGGCGGGTCAGCGTTGGCAGCGTGGGTCAGTGTGGGGAGGGGCGCCGGAAGCGCCGGCGGGCATCTGCGGGTTACGCGGCGGCGTCCCCGGCGTTAGCGGCGTCCGCGGCGTTCGCGGCGTCAGGAGTAGTGCTGGCATCAGTCGGCTTCAGCGTTGGGTAGCAGCGGACGCTCTGGGCAGCAGAGGCAGCAGCAGGAGTATCAGCAGCGAGCGGCGGCAGCGGTAGGTCCCGGGTTAGTGGGGGTCAGTATGTGGCAGCGGGAGGCGGTGGAGGCAGGGGAGGCAGGGGGCGGCAGTAAGCGGTGGGGGCAGGGAGGCAGGTAGCGGCAGGCAAGTGTGGTGGGCGGCGGCGGTAGGTGATTGCAGGCGGCGGCAGGAAGCGGTGGCGGGCTTGGGTAAGAAGCGGCAGGCAGGCAGGCGGCGGCGGCAGGCAGGCCAGGGCCGCGGGCGGTGGAAGGAGGTAGCAGGCGGCGGCGGCGGCAGTGGGCGGGGGCAGGCAGGCTGCGGCAGGCAGCTGGCAGACAGTTGCAGGCATGCTGCAGCACTGGGGGTACGCAGTAGCCGCAGGTGGCAACAGGCAGTGGCGGCAGGAAGTGGCGGCGGGCAGTGGTGGGGTCAGGTAGTGGCGGCCGGCAGGCCCCGGCTATGGGCAGGCAGGGGGCGGCGGCGGCAAGAGGTGGCAGACGGGGGCAGGCAGTGGTAAGCGGCGGCAGGCGCAGGTCCAGGCAGCAGCGTTAGGTAGGCGGCAGCGGTAGGCATGTGCTGGCGGGGGGCTGCCGTGGCGGGTAGTGGTAAGTGGCAGTAGGCGGGGGTAGGCGGCGGTGCTGCAGGCCGTGGCGGGCTGCAGGCAGCAGGGGCCAGGCAGGAAGCGGCGGCTAACAGTCGCAGCCGGCCGTAAGCAGTGGCAGAAAGCGGCGGCAGGGGCAGGTGTCAGGGGGATGCGGGCCGCAGCGGGGGCAGGCAGTGAGGGCAGCAGACAGCAGCGGCGGCAGGTGGCAGCGGCTGGCGGTGGGGCCAAGCGGGCTGCAGGGGGCAGCGGCAGCAGGTGGCGGCGGTAGGCAGGCAACGTTGGCAACCATCGTCGAGGTTAGGCAGCGGAGGCTGGTGGCAGTAGCCGCAGATGGCAACAGGCGGTGGTGGCAGGAAGCAGTGGCAGGCGGTTGGCGGGGACAGGTGGTGGCCGCAGGCAGCAGTGTTAGGAAGGCGGGAATTGCAACTGTTGGGAGGCGGCAGTAGTAGGCATGCGTTGGTGGCGGACTGCGGTGGCGGGCAGTGGTAAGCGGCAGCAGGCGGCGGTGGTAAGGAAGCGGCAGCGGGCCGTGGCGGGCAACCGGCAGCGGTGTCAGGCGGCAGTGGCAGGAAGCGGTGGCAGACAGCGGAGGCAGGTGGCGCGGGAAGGTGGCAGGAGGAGGCAGGCTGCAGCGGAGGCAGGCAGTGGGGGCAGCGGGCTGCAGGCGCCAGCGGTAGGCAGGCAGTGGCGGCAGGTAAAAGGTAGCAGGTTCAGGCTACAGTAAGCAGTGGCTGGCAGGCAGGCCACGGCAGGTAAGGGCCGCGGGTGGTGCAAGGATATAGCAGGCGGCGGCAGCAGGCAGGCGGCGGGGACAGGCAGGTGGCAGAGAGCAGCATTAGGGAGGTGGCAGCGGTAGGCCGGTGGTGCCGGCAGCGGTGGGGGTAGGCAGGCAGCGTTGGCATGCATTCTCGGGGTTAGGTAGCTGGGCCCGGTGGAGCCAGGCTGTGGCAGCAGACGGCGGCGGCGGCAGTCAGGCGGTCATGGATGCCGGCGGGCAGCAGGCTGCAGGCGCAGGCAAGGGCGGTGGGTGGCAGAAGGCAGGTGGCGGCGGCAGGCAGAGGTAAGCGGCAGCAGGGGGCGGCAGTGGCAGACGGCAGTGGTAGTACTGACTGGTGGCGGCAGCAGGCAGGCAGTGGCAGGCGGCGGTGGCAGCATTGGTGGGCAGTGGCTGCAGGCAGCGGCAGGCAGGCGGTGGCAGTCGGTGGCAGGCGGCAGCGGGCAGCAGCAGAGGTTGCAGCGGTGACAGCACTAGCGGGGGGCGTCTGCGGCTGCAGCGGCTGCAGGGGCGGCAAGGGCTGCAGGGGCGCCAGCTTTGGGCAGCCCCGGGTCATCGGGTGGCGGTGTGTGGCAGCCTCAACAGCAGGTGCCATTGGCTTCAGCCGGAGTCACCGGCGCGGGAAGCAGGCGCCGCGATAGGGGCGGGGTCAGCAGCAGGCGGGTCAGCGGCGGCAGCGACGGTCAGCGTGGGGAGGGGCGCCGGAAGCGCCGGCGGGTAGAGTCGGGTTACGCGGCGGCGTCAGCGGCGTCAGCGGCGTCAGCGGCGTCAGCGGCGTCAGCGGCGTCAGCGGCGTCAGCGGCGTTAGCAGTATTGCTGGCGCCAGTCAGCTTCCACGTTGGGCAGCAGAGGAAGCTCCGGGCAGCAGAGGCAGCAGTGGGAGTATCAGCAGCGGGCGGCGGCAGCGGTAGTTGCCGGGTTAGTGGGGTCAGTATGTGGCAGCGGGGGGCGGTGGAGGCAGTGGAGGCAGGGGGCGGCAGTAAGCGGTGGGGGCAGGGAGGCAGGTAGCGGCAGTCAAGTGTGGTGGGCGGCGGCGGTAGGCGATTGCAGGCGGCGGCAGGAAGCGGTGGCAGGCTGTGGTAAGCAACGGCACGCAGGCAGGCGGCCGCGGCAGGCAGGCAAGGGCGGCGGGCGGTGGAAGGAGGTAGCAGGCAGCGGCAGGGGAAAGGGGCAGGCAGGCGGAGGCAAGGGGATGCAGGCAAGGGTGGCAGGCGGCAGCGGCAGGTAGGTGGCTGGGGCGGTAGGCAGCGATAATTGGCAGCAACTGGCGGGGGCAGCGGCCCGGTGGCGGTAGGGGCAGGGTCAGCGCTGGGCAGTCAGTGCCAGCAAGCAGCAGGCGGCAGAGGGCGGCAGCGTGGGCCAGCCGCGTCGGCGGTCAGAAGCATCGTCTGTGATGGGCAGCGGGTGTCAGTGGCGGTAGCTGGGGGCAGTGGCGGTAGCTGGGGGCAGTGGCGGTATGGCTGGGAGCAGAGGGAGCCGGGGGCATCGGCGTCCTTGGAACCCTAGCATGCTGCGGTTCCGAGGAAGAGGTGCCCCTCAGCCTGGTATCTGCAGGGGACACAGGGGGCCACACAGACCCAGTGGCCAAGCCTGAGACGGAGTGCCAAGTCCTGCTTCCTCCCATTGGGGAGGCCAGGTGAGTTCGGCCTCTGCCCTGGGCCTGAGCTTCAGTCTCTCCATCTGTAAAGTGGGCAGAACAGCCAAACCTTAGGGTTATGGTGCAGATTTAACGTAGGTAATGGGTTTCCTCTAGACTGGTTCAGAGTACAGGTTGTCATTCCTCTTATTCCACTTCCAGCTGTGTGTCCTTGAGCAAGATAGGTAATCGCCAGGCCTCAGAATTCTCATCTGAGAGATGGGCCTGCAAAGAGGACCTATATAGGCTTGTTTTGGGGATTTAGTGAAGTAGTACACAGAACCCATTTCCAAAGTCAATGTAAATCATGGTTCCTGGCACGAGATAAGTGCAGTAAGAGTCTTTGGGATTAATATCACAGAAGTATTAGTTACTGTTATTGCTAGCACTGGGGAAGGAACACCTTGATTGCCATCCCCATGATTATCATCGTGAGTTAATTGAGGAGCTGCTCTGTGCCTGGCACTGGCTAAGCATTCTACACCCTTTATCAGTTTGCACATCTCCGTGGGCTAGGATCCTGATAGGCCTCTGAGTCTTAGAGACGCAGGTAATGCTTGGAACCAGATTTCAAGCCCTTGTCTTTGCAGCTCCAAAACCTGTGCTTCCAACCTCTCCATGTTTGGGGCGTATCCGAAACCCTCATGCCTCTCGGCTTGACTCTGCACCTTACAGCTTAGAATAGGGCCTAACCCAGAGGAATACAGAGGGATAAGTATTCTCTATTTCTGTTACCATCGTAGTCTTTATTCACTCGCAGTGCTTTATGGGCACAGATGTAACGGCGGTGGTTAGTGATTCAGATCAAGAGCTGACAGACCATCCCAACTGAGAGAAATGAGACCCTTTTTATGTGTTCCTCTCCCCCTAGAATGACGGTCAAGAGACAGTGATGACTAAGAGGTTGCCAGTGAGTTAAAGAAGTTGGCTGCCCAGCCGCAAGAGCCTGAGTAGACAGCAGCGGCGACCTTTGGTAGCATCTCAAAAGACACCTACACGATGAAACATGCCCAGGGATTTGGAAAACCGGTAAGGCACTTTCCATCCACCCTGCATTGTTCTTCCTCAACTTTTTCAGTATCTCCCAGGAACTCCCTGCTTCTTCCTGTACCCCTAAGCGGGATGCAGTGCCCAGTGCTCTGGGTAGAGAGGAGCCTAGCACTTTACATGCTGTTCTGTGCACGCACTCACCAGTGTACAAAGCTCTCCTTTAGCCTCTGTGAGGAACAGGAGGGCAGTTTCCCGCACAGATTTGGGCAGGTCCCTGCACTTTCTGAGTCCCCTGAACAATGGTGTACGGCTTACCTGTTTAAATCCAGTTTTGTCTTGGAGTGTTTTACAAGACCTTTTCCTTAGGATAACTTGTAAGATCACTCTCTTTACAACTTCGAAGCTTGTAATACAGTGTTATTAAGTATAGCCGCCATGTTGTACGTTACATCCTGTGACTGACTGACTTTATACCTGTAAGTTTGAACCTTTGACCCCTGTCACCCATTTCACACCCATCCCCCTGCCTGTCAACCACCAATCTGACTGCTGTATCTTTAAGCTCAGTTTTTTGGTGTTTTTAGATTCCATATAAAAGTGTTGTCATAGAGTATTGGTCTCTGACTTCTTTCAGTTAGCATCGTGCCCTCAGGGTCCATCCATGTTGTTGTAAAAAGAACGATTTCGTTTTTTGTTATGGCTAAAGAGTATTGCAGTGTCTACATACACCACATCTTCCTTATCGATTCATCCCTCCGTGGACATGTAGGTTGTTCTCCTATCTTAGCTGTTATGAATAATGCTGCAGTGAACATGGGGGTTCAGGTATCTTTTCAAATGGGTGTTTTTGTTTTCCTTGGCTAAATGGCCAGGAGAAAAATTGCTGGATTGTAGGCTCGTTCTAGTTTTAATGTTTTGAGGAGCCTGCATACTCTTTTCCACAGTGGATGCACGTACCTACGTTCCCACCAACAGCTCACTGGGGTTCCCTTTCGGCCACATCCTTGCTAACATGTGTTATTTCTCATCTTTTTGATACTAAGTTTTCTAACCAGTGTGAGGTGCTATCCCATTGTTGTTTTGATTTGCATTTCCCTGATGATTCATGATGTTGAGCATCTTTTCACGTCCCTGTTGGATCTCTGGATGTCTTCTCTGGATAATGTCCATTTGGATAATCCTCCCACTTTTTAACCACTTTGTTTTTTTGCTGTAGTTATTGAGTGTAGGAGTGCTTTATATGTACTGGATACTAATCTTTTTTTTTTTTTTTTAAGGATTTATTTATTTATTTATTTGAGAGAGAGAATGAGATAGAGAGCATGAGAGGGGGGAGGGTCAGAGGGAGAAGCAGACTCCCTGCTGAGCAGGGAGCCTGACGTGGGACTCGATCCCGGGACTCTGGGATCATGACCTAAGCTGAAGGCAGTCGCTTAACCAACTGAGCCACCCAGGCGCCCCTCCATACAAATTTTAAAGATTCTTTGCCTTATGTCTTTAAAACGTGTTTCGAATTTTGGTAAGAATTGCATTCAATCTCTAGACGGTTTTGGGTAGTGTAGACATTTTAACACTTAATTCTTCTAATCTATGAGCATGGAATGTCGATTTACTTGTGTTGTCTTCCGTTTCTTTCCTTAGTGTCTTACAGTTTTCAGTATATAGGCTTTCACCTCCTTGGTTAAATTTATCTTTAAGTGTTTTTTGTGTTGTTTTTTTTTTTGATGCAGTTTTAAATATTATTTTTTAAATTTATTTTCCTGTTCATTATTAGTATATAAAAATGGAACATATTTTTATGTACTTTTTATCCTGCAACTTTATTGAATCTGTTTAATAGTTTTTTTCATGTTGTTTTTAGGGTTTTTTTACATATAAAATGTTATTTGAATATAGTGAACTTTTTTTTTTTTCTTTAAAGATTTTATTTATTTATTTGAGACAGAGAGAATGAGAGACAGAGAGCATGAGAGGGAGGAGGGTCAGAGGGAGAAGCAGACTCCCTACCCAGCAGGGAGCCCGACGCGGGACTCGATCCCGGGACTCCAGGATCATGACCTGAGCCGAAGGCAGTCGCTTAAACAACTGAGCTACCCAGGCGCCCCTGAATATAATGACCTTTACTTCTTCCTTTCCAATTTGGATGTATTTTATTTCTTTATTTTTCTTGTGTAATTGCTCTGGCTAGGATTTCCAGTAGTATAATTGACCGTTGTCCATCGTCGGTTTGAATTGTGTGGTCCAATGAATACCTTTTTTATTCAGTAAATACAGGCATTGCTTGTAAAGGTATTGTCCTTTTGAATTTTTTTTTCTTTTAAAATGATTATTTATATTCTACTTACTTAACATACAGTGCAATATTGCTTTCAGGAGAATTCCGTGATTCATGACTTGCTTACAACCCCTACTACTCATCATAACAGTGCCCTCCTTAATCCCATCACCCAGCTAGACCATCCCCCAAACACCTCCCCTCTGTCAAATCTCTGTTTTCCAGCATCA